GAAAGTTTTCATAAAAGTTGATTACATTTTCAATAATACATGAGTAGAATAATGTATGATATTTAGTAAAGTAGGATGTAACATTTTTAATTCGTTGAAGAGGCATTTTTTTCGGCAATTTCTTTTAGATCAATCAAGTGGAAAACTTGACTAAGTGGAAATCTTTCTTTAACGGTTTACAACAAACATTTAAATCAAAATGCCAAGCTTTAATTCTTACAATTTTCAAATGTTCGCAATTAATAATAACATAGGCACACATGTTTGCGTACACTACGGGACGTTGAAAATGCAACACTAAAAAGGAGTAACCAGAAAGGAAACAAACTTGGAAACCGAGAAAGACAGCAATGAACAGTAAGTTATTTTGATAAAAATATTCATAATATAAGGCGAGAACAACCTCCACTCACCGAGAACGAAGATTCACGAAGCAACACGGTCTTTAAGGGTCCTTGTGTTTACTTACTTGCACTTGTGGCGTCCTGTGGAATGGCTTTCCATTCCCTGTCAACCATTTGCAACAGTTCGTTTTCTGAATGCGGTGGTGGCAGGACATGAAAACGCTGTCGAACCAGTTGTGTTCGATTGGTGAGAGATCAAGACAGAATGGTGGCCAGGGAAGTATGTTAACATCTTGCAGAGCCCATTGTCTGATGTTTGCAATTCACAGTTGGGCATTATTCTGTTGCTAAAGGGCATAGCGCACCTCTGATAGAATGAGAGTAACAACTGACACAGCACGTAATCTCCATATCGTTGGACCATCATGGTACCCTGAGCACTAAATCACAGGCAACGTGCTATCGTACACAATGGCACCCTAAGCCATGACGCCGCGTTGAGGAGTTCTACAAATGCGGCCACCACGTCGACGCCACACTTGTACACGGTGGCTATTATTGTTCAAACGAAATCGTGACTCGTTTCAGAACATGAGCCTATACCATTTCGTCCTCTACGTCGTCTAAGCTGGCACCATTGCAAATGGAGTCATCTATGCTGTAGTGTCAATGGTCACTACAGCACCCTTAACGAAAGCCATGAGTGCATACCACTAACAACCATTCGAGGGATAATGGTTCTGGCTGATAAGGGAATATCAAGGATGTCAGTGGGGCAGTCGATTCACGCTCGCTGACGTCGCTCTGGCCGTCCCTCTCATTCCTTGTTCCAACCATTTTTGCCACAACTAGTAATGCACCATGGATGCGTCTAGGTGGGTATCAGCTGAGATTTGACGTATGAAGCAACCTGCCTTTTTCAGTCCAATCATGTTACTTGTAAAATTATTTGTCTGTTGAAACTGCCTACTTTGGCTGTGGCTTGACATCTTCTGATAATACCTGCTTCCTCTGAGACAAGAAAAAATCTCCCTGTCACGAAAATACGACATGGATATTTGTCCATAGATATTTTATGAAATTTGATTAAATTTCTGGTTACTTATTACTATTGTATCTTCAATGTTCAGCAGATTGTTTAAAGCTCTGAAAAGCATGTTTTATTCATTTATTCAATAAATGTTAATTAAATATAAAAGGAGGTAATTAAGAAGATTTTACGTAGATTTGAAAGTGGAAAAAGTATCGCAAAGTTATTTTTACATGCTTCATTTATTTACATTTGTAAAATAAAATAATATTCGTATCAGATGCACAGAACTACTGACACTCAGATTGTACTAGTTTTGAAAATAGTCACTGTGAATAAGATTTGATTCGAAACAGGAAAAAAAATTGGCAGGGAGGAAATGCGAAAGCATTAAGAAGGAAATATTAAGTTCATCATTGTTTATTTTCTCTTAAAATAGCTCTTTTAAAAGTTCATACTTTCTATATTTTAATATTTCAATATACATATTTCAATAATTTTACTAAAAAAAACTTAGACCTTAGTTTATCCGATTTATCTTTTGAGACTCTTATGTGCTTGTCCTACATCATCCGAACACTCGTGTTCGACAATTTGGATTATTAATTGTTAGTAACTGTTAGATATCACACAATTAAATAAAAATATATGAAACAGTAATATTAATAACAATAATATTATAATTACGTAACTGTCATTTCTTTGAAATTGAATAATATGTAATAATATGAACACAATTTCTAATAGGTAAGCTATTTTCATAAACATAGCTGATTGATTGTGAAATAAGCATATTTAAAATCACTAGAACATTATTGTATAATTGTGGTAGAGATATTTTAATGCAGGTCTTGTGATTTCGAATATAATATTATTTAAAGGAAAATGTCGATTGAATACTTGAAATATAACTATAAATAATTTCAGTGGAGCTCTTAAATAAATTCTGATGTTAACCTTTGTTCTTCATTCTAATAATACACTACTCAATTCTTTGCCAAAAACTGAGTGAACGAAGCTCGTATGTTATGTTTTTCATTGTTATCCATTAATTCTTATGAGAAAATTTTCTTTTTCAGAGCTGAACATCGATTCTGCACATACATTATGCGTCCTCTGAAAAATGATCCTTCCAGAACTCATCTCGTTTGGCTTATGCAAGTCAATCTCAAGGTTAGTTCCAAAATTTATATCCCTAATACTTTTACGTTGATTCCAAAAATATATTCCTTATTTTAGGAATCTCTGTTACATTTATTTACAAACGAATATTTATACAGAGAATGATCAAAATATCTTTAAAATATTTTTAAAACATTAAAAATAAAACTTGAATGTGAAATTAAAAGCGCCTTAAGTTGCAGCATTGACAAAATAGTTGAACAGGAATGATAAAATGGGAGGGGGGATGAGGATGATAGAGGACACTATCACCAATGAATACATTAAAAATGTACATATGAGGCTGTAATAAAGTATTCAATGCTTTCTCTTAAGGTATCCGACTACTTGCGACAACTTTTTTTTAAAAAAGAAATGGAGGTATGGGGATTTTTTTTTTGTGGTTTTTAGATTTTTTTAGTACATTTTAAGAAAAAAAATGTTAAAATTAAGAAGAGAAAAAGAAATTATTATTACTAAAATAGGAAAAAATTGGTAAAAACTTACAAAAAATTACATAAACGGGGCCCATTTTGTACAAAAAGTTTATGAACAAATTTTCAATTTTTCAAATTTAATGCGTTGCTTTGCTGTTCATTTTTGAAATGACCTTCCGGATAAGAGATATTTTAATTTTTACAAAAACTAGAGCACTCTTTATCTTAGTTATTACATGAAGTTGCTTAAAAAACAGTGATTATATTCGCATAAGGGACTGTAAATTTTGTAATAAAACAGTAAGTGAAAAATATGAAGGTTAAAACGCTTCTACAAATATACAGAACATGTACAAAAAAAAAATTCCGTTAATTCTTTTGAAAACTTTTTGAGCAATCGCTGTTCCCGTCTGAACATTTTCAAAAAACACATTTCGTGTAAAACGCATTTTAAATTATGACATCTTGATTAAAAAGTAGTGGCATCTGCTTTTACTAAAACACCTGTAGTTTTTGTTCTAGTGAATGGAAAATAATAAACTTGGTATTTTTATAAAGCTAATAAGATGGCCTATAGAATAAGATAATAAAAATTGTCAGTTTTTGGCAAAATTTACAATTTTAGGGTAGTCTTGGATACCTTAATAAATTTATCATACAATTTATTTGTATCAAATGGGCAAAAATGTTAATTTAGTGAGAAGGAATTTTGTAGATGATATTGATTTATGCAAAAGAGGTTTTCCAGATAAGCATTTTCTGCCGCCAATGGTTAAAATGGTTATTTTTAAGTTATCTGTATATTTATTCTTTCTTTTGCCAATGAACATAAAGTTAATTTTTAAAAATTTAAATAACCTTTGGGCTGGCAATATATGTCATCTGCTTGACGCTTGCCAATCTGCTAAATTTTCTCACTATTTTTACATACATTTTTAAAGACTTTATTCATTTTTTTCCCTCCCATGCAAGCTACAACATGTATTTTTATTGGTAGAGGTTTTTTAAAACATTTTTTTTCTGAAATCGTCAAATAATACACTTCAAAGCTAAAAGATTTGTTTTTACAAAATTCTATCTCAAATTTAATTAAATTGCCCATTTAAAAAATGTGTGGTACTTATAAATTAAATACAGAAAATAAAAATAAAAATCACGTTAGAAATGCAAAATTTAATTTTATTTTCAATGCATTCACACATATTATAAGCAAGGCAGTTAATCATATTTCATTTTTATGAAATAATTTTTAAATTACATTATGAGACAAAACAGTCAAATGATAGATATTCTTGAAAATAAAATAGATAAAATTTAATTTATTTTATAACTGAAGATAATTTTTCATATACTTACCAAGTGTTACTATTAACATTCTATTTTTATTTACAGGGATGGTTGCCCCAGCACATTACTGACCATGCTGTTACTTACGGAATGTTTGATCATTTGAAGGATATTAAATCTAATTAATGTCATTAAATGAAATTATCATTGTTAATAGTTTGATTTTATTTTATTTATTTCATTATTTATATTATTTATTTATTTTTCTTTCATCTAGTTAGTACTCTAATAATGAATCACATGAAATGCGAACATTTTTTTGTATATGAAAATTTTTCAAAATATTTATATTATGTTTTTATTCTATTTATTGTAATATTCCCATCTGTGTTGAATGTAAAATTGAATAAAATGTATATATATGCTGTATTTTAAATAAAGTGTCATATTCTATATATTGAGCGTTTTTTTTTTAACCAAACCTTCTCACGTAATTTGGCTTATAGATTGTCAGTCTTACTTCTTAAAAGCTCAATTGTTGTTGTTGCGTGTTTAATCATGGAATACACATGAAAGACAGACGAACACAGAAACATACAACACAATCATAGAAGAGAATATAGTCTTTATTATACAAACGATGATCCCAGCATAGAACGGAAGAGACGCGCTGCTTTCCATTCGCGAGACAGGAATCCATTTCAGGTGAAAATCCGACTTCTTTTCCAGAAGATATTTCCATGCCTTATTCGGGATTCGAACCCGAGACCACTCGATTACAAGCCGAGTGTCATAAACACCTTACTGGATGGGGCGGCACAAGAGGTCAGTAAATAAGGGTGAAACATATCATTCTCAAAAATTCCTCTGAAGCAACACAAGGAGTATTGGCGACGGAGCTCGTAATTCTGAACCACGGTCAAATGACGAGGACACTTGAGTTGGCACCCCCTCTCCAAACCTCCACACGGGATGTCTCGACGGATTTAGCGTGTATCAACCTTTTTATAAGGCAGGTCTCAGTGAAACTAGGTCTCGAAACCTTGCCTCGGCAATGCCAAACAAGAGTTCACGACCATGACCACTCGGCTGCCTCGTCTATATCATGGATTGCGGTAGAGAACACCTCGCGAATTTCGCGCTCTTCGAAGTACTGGTTCAATCGTTATTTTCGACATTACTTCTCACGACTCTCTTAATTACATCAAGACAGTCAAATAGAATGATGTCCCACTTTAAATCGAACTGGACTCAAAATTTTCACAAAGTTTAGTGCTGATCAGGAACGTCTTAAGACTTGTTGAGGCCCTTGGCCTCTACACAAATATAGGCCTCACATGTGACACTTAAAAGTAGATAGTACATAGAATACGTTATCAAACACTTGTACAAACAATAACCCGAAACAAACAAATGTGCATGGCTTACAGTAGCACAAATCGGCTCGACCCACTGCCGCTCTTTGACTTAATGAGTAATGATGGTGTATGGTGGTAGACCTAGGCCTATACATGAACGACGGTCATCCCATAATATTGGAGTCTTGCCACAGTTACCAGTTGATATATAGTCTGAAATTCCCATTTTTTTTCTGAGAATACAAGCGAAAATAACATTTGACCGTTAAAATTATTCGAATCATGATCTTATAAAGGCTCAGTCGAGAACGGGACGAGGTCTCCACGGAGGCCGCGGCCCTTGGCCCAGTTGGCCCATGCCTTAAGACGTCCCTGGTACCGATATTAAGAGATCAGACCACGATTTGCGATCGCATGCGTTTCTTTGCATAGACGATTGTAATTCTTCAGACTTCTACTTATATGTATTATTAAAAAAATAATTATGTCTACTAAAAACTGTTTTCCTATCTTTTTTTACCTTTACATTTATCTATTGAAAAAAAAAAAGTTACATGCATTTGCATGTGCGTTTAAACATTTAATTGGCTTAAGACAATCATTTCTATATTAAATTGCTTTCCATTAACAAAGCTTATTGAGAACCAGTGAAAATATTAGAACTAGTTCTAAAACAGAAAGTCCAATTTATTGATAAAAATTTTACAATGGGAAGACACAAAGTGATTTCCAGCAACGTTTATTTATTTATTTATTTATTTATTTTGCATACAGGAGTTCGAGAGCACTTCGGAACGGACAAGAGTCCCAACAGAAGTTACAAAGGCACATTTCGTATTTTATAACATGCTTAAAGGCTAATAAAAAGAGTGTTTAAGTTACAGTTAGAAGTAATACAAAGAATTTTAAATCACTATGATTAATTTATAATAAGTCTAAATCCCTTTATTCCAAAAATATCTAAAAAAAGCCTACTCGTCTCACTGAAGAAAAAAAAACGTATAAAGGAAACAACAAAACTGCATAATTCGAAAAATAATTTAATTTAAATATATTCTTCTTAACAACGACTTCTATTTAACGAAGTCGCTAAATACCGAAAAAAAGTTCGTTATGTGGAAAATTAGTTAAATAGAAATTCATCTTTTAATATACTGTAGAAACCACATAAAACAAATTTTAAATTCTTAAGCACTGTATATTATTAGAACAAAGTAATTATTGACATTTTTTCTCTCGTAAATTAATATCTATTTATTTTACAAATCTTACTCATCAAAAGAAATCTACAAGGAAAAAACAAGAAAAAAAAAATTGTCCAGGAATACATTATATTTTCAATTATAAAAAATAATTTTATAGTAAAACTAATTAATTTTAATGACATTTTCTAATTTTAAGCACACAAGTAATTTTAAACATATATTATTTTATAAACAGTAATTTTAAACATATTTTATAAACAGTAATTTTAAACATATATTATTTTATAAGCAGTAATTTTAAACATATATTACCATATACGTCCCTAAATTTAATTACTGATAAAACTTGCTAATTTTATTTCATTTTATTTGAAAAGTTACGCCAATTTTATTGCTTTAGTTGAGTTAAGCCTCTGATAAAGCCAGTTCAAAACCATTGATCACCATAAAATGTGTTAAAAGAGAGAATAATCTGAAATGTGCAGAAATATTTTTAAAATAGGGAGAAAAATATCGATCCACAAGAGAAAAAAGTTCGTTAAACAGAAAATGCACTTCCTATTTGGAGATTATTTTACGAAGAAAATAGTAAAATATTCTTCTTTCCAGAAAAAAGTTCGCTAAATAGAAAAATTCGTTAAATAGAGATTGGTAAAATGGAGGTCCGACTGTAATATATATATATATAGTATAATAAAATAAAGTAATTGCAATCCCTACAAAGCTGAGAATGAAAATGAAAATAAATTTTAAAAACCTATAAAAACCCGCCAAAATATAAGTAGACATTTAGTGACTATGATTATACATATATATATATATAAAATTATAGATTATACCAATATATAATTTATTTTTTTTCTTGATAGCATTCGAAGCATGTTTCTAACTCGAAGGATTCCTTAGAATAAAGAACTAAGTTTAATTTGTTAATTCTTTGAGCTTTTCCGTCGTTATTAGCAAGTTATGATCAAAAATTAAAATGCATGCATTTTTTGAAATTTTTTCATTTGGATATAGAAGATTAAATATTGTACAAAGAATTATTTAGTCATAAGGGAATTGTTTATCTTCCTAATTTTATCAGCAAAATACTGAAGTGGGAAAATCGCGATCTATATTCCCCGGAAAAAATTTTGTTAAGTATTTAATAAACTCAATCAATAGTTTACGCCTTCTTTTTTTATTTATTTTTATTTATTTATTTATTTATTTTACCCTATATCGCAAATACGGGTGAAGGAGGAAAAAACTCTGAAGTCAGCTCTGAGCTTTCTGTTCTCTCCGCAAGTGCTCAAAAATAGCTACAGCGATAAAGGTATTCCTTAGGGTGCTCATGAATTACACAAGCACGGATTCCTAGGAGTCACCCCATCAACAATCCAGGTTAACGGCCCATTTTATAACCAAAGCAATACTATTAAATAACAATAACTATAAACGCGTTGAGCTGAAATTAAACTTCATTTGGCGTGAAAAAAATGAAAAGCTTGCTAAAAAAATTTTTTAAACAATTTTATAATAACAAATAAATGATTCATAGATTTTTTAAAAAAATCATTTTAAATGTTTATTTGGAACTTATAATACAAAAATAAAAGCAAATCCAATTTTTTTATAAAAAGATTTAGATTACATTATTATTCGAAACATTTTTAAATAGTATTAACAATAAATTACAATAAAAAAGATATTCTAGTTAGCCTGTTATTTTTAAATATAGAGCCATGACATACAAAATTTGTTTCAGGAATTAATTTCTAAAAGGAACTAATATATATATATATATATATATATATATATATATA